GATTTTTCTTGTTTGTTTTTTTTTTTTCTCTCCGTCCTGCACTTGCAAGCCTGACACCCAGGGCCAGCGCGGCGTGGGGAGCTGGCTGCAGCCTGTGCCATCCCCCCGGGCCGTACCTCTCGCTTGTCTCTTCGCTGCAGTAGTTTGGATGCTTGGGGCTCCCTTCTCTGCCCCTCTTTCATTTGTGTCATCCCCTCCCTGCCACGCTGCTGAGGAGCAGGGGGGGAGCTCTGGATTTAAATGCTGGGATCCTCTCCCTATGGGCCTGGCCTTGCTTGGGATGCTCCCCATCCGCAGCGTGGGTACCAAGGGCTGGGCGGGAGGCAGGAGAAGACGGAAGCATCGGGGGGGACATCTCTGTTCTTGTGGATGTCTGCTGTGCTCTCTATTGGGAATGGGGAACCTTTTCCCTCCAGGGCAGCTCTAGATCCCTTTGAAACAAGTCAGCGTCTCTGTTCTTGCCCAACTCCACTGTCTGCCCATGGAGACCGGGGCGACACTGGAGAAGGGATGAGGCGCTGATGGGTGAGCTGTGGCAGGGCCAAAGCCAGGCTACTGGACGGCTCAGTCCCGGGGAGGAGGAGAAGGTGGCATTTTGTTTTTTCTCTCTCAAATCATTTAAACTTCATTGTCATGATTGTTTTTATTTAAGAAAAAAAAAAAAAAAACAAAAAAAAACAAAGAAAGAAAAAAAAGAAAAAAAGATATAAAACCTAAACCCTTTTGTAACGTGGATTTGTTTTCCTTCGTCTGTATTTCAGTCTGCTGGGGTGTTTCTGTAGATGGTGGATACTTGCTTTCATTTTTTTAATGATAGACATCTTCTGTTTTCAGTTGGTTTTGTTTTGTTTTTTATCACCAGCTCATTCTATCCTCTGTGGTTATTCAGTAATTTCATTTCAATATTTATTTTTGTGCTGCTTTTTTATTATAAAATAAATTATTGATATACCAAGCAATGTGGATTCCTGTTTGTAAGGCAGATAGCCCTGTGTATGTGTCCATTACTTTCTCTTGACAGCCACAACGTAATTTATTGCTGTAAATTTAGCTGCAGTGACTGGTTTTTTTGTACCTTTCCAATAAAGCATTTTCTGGTTTCAGACTTGCCCTGGTCTATGGTCAGCGTTTTGGAGCTTGAATTGATCTTCAGTGGAGTGTTTTCCTTGGGGAATTTTGCCTGTGTATCCCTATTCTGATGGTGAGCAATGTGTTTTCTAGGAGGTGATGCTGCTCGGGGTTTGGCAGGCATTGATGAGCCCGGTGTATCCCCCTTACCCAGCTCCCAGCCTTGCCATGGTGCTTTTCCTGGTGTGTTTGGAACATGCTCAAGGGATGGCTCTTGTGAGTTGCTTCTCTGGTAGATCCCATGCTCAGCACATGGTTCTAACCCAGGCTGTGCCTCTGTGTGTGATCAGTGGGTATTTACGGTAGCACAAGTGGAGGCTGATAGCTCAGCAGGCTCCTGCTTGCAGTCATGGTGTTGAGAGCTGGCTGCATAGGGGGGCTCTTGGCTAGGAGGCCCTGTGCATCCTAGATAGGTTGCGGTGCTGGAGAGACACCCTCTCCTCTGCTCCTGTGGGTTGTGAAACAGTCCTTCACTGCTTTCCTATGTGACTGCTTGTGAATAAATCACTCGAACCCCTTACATCAATATTTCATTTATGTTCCACCCTGTTTGGGCTCTAAAGAGGTGGCACCTTGTGCCCGTGTGCTCTGAGGGGCCATGTTAGCTTTAACCCCCCATTCCACATGGTCAGTTTTCTTTAGATGAAGCAGGAAGACAGTTGGTCTGTGCCGGCTTGAGGCAGTAGTTGGAGGCAGATGGGTGTGTTGGCCAGAGCTGGAATTGGAGGTAGGGCTGAAAAGGCTTTGTGTGTCAGCAGGTAATGGATGGTCATTAGGTGGGGCCAGGCAGGCTTGGCTGAGCAGGGACCATGGTGGAGCCTGTGGAGTGATTGCAGTCACTCACTGAGCAAGAAACTCATCATCATGTGCTTCAGCTCCTGCCTGGAGGGGTGGCAGCGAGGAGCTGGTGACCCTGAAGAAGAGAGGGAAATAGGCCAGTGTGTGTTGATGGAGAAGCACAGTCAGCCCTGGCTCTCGTGGCTGCCATGGCATGGTGTGCCCTGATGTAGGGATACATCCCGGACACGAGCAGGCTCTAAACCTGTCCTATCCAAGCCGAAAAAGCTTGGGAGAACCATAGCTGCATCCCAGCTTTGTCCTTGGGGAAAGCCCAAGAACAAGAGACAACTGGAAAACAAATCTGCCAACCACTGGAGCCTGCTGCTGGCAGGGAGCAAAGCCCGTCCCTGCCTGGCTGCCTGCTGGCATGGCTCCAGGCACAGCCGGGCTCCTGTGTAGGTCACCCGTTTGCTCGCTGCCAGCTTTCCCTGTGTCCTTGCTGGAGAAATGGAGGAGACACGTTAACAGAGGAGCACAGGACCGTGTCTGCTGGAGAATGCATTGCTCAGCCTACAGCAGCACTGCTGGTGTTTCTTTTCCCAGTGGATGTGTTTTGACAGCATCACAGTTTGAGGGCCCTGCCAGTGCCCAGCTCTTGCCTTGCTCCCTATCCCGAGGAAAAGGAGCAGGAGGTCAAGCTCTCTCTTGCTAGTGTCCAGCCCAGCATGGCTCCTTCAGGCTGGTATCACACTGCTGACTTGGATGAGCCACAGCTGGTACCCCTCCTCCTTGTTTCACTTGCATGAAGGACCTGTTTTACATATAATACAGTAATTGGGGCTTGACATAAATAGGCAAATGTTATTGTCTGCAGTGGGAATTGCACCTGCTGGCAAGAGCAATGAACGCAGCCCATTATGCACCGGCGCTGATCATTTGCGTGGTGAAGTACAACTACGTCTCTTGCTGTGTTCTTGTGCAAGTCTTTATCTCAGCGAGCCTGCCAACAGATGTGCTATAATCACCTTTGCAGCCTGTCCTCGCTTCTGTTCCTGCAGCTGTGGCCGGCTCTCTCCCAGGGGATGGAGAGGACCAAGGTGTGATGTCCCTGCTTCAGTGCTGGCTGCATTACAGAGCCAAGCAGGCTCGTTCCTGTGCACTGAGGCTGCCCTTTGCAGGCAGGGTATTTCTTCTTCCAGGATGCCAGGACCACGGGTGGATGCCTGGATGCACAACTCATATGGATCTAGTTGATGAACCTCATTGCAAGAGAAGTGGCAGCTGTCACCAGCTAAACAGGTATGGGCTGAGGTGCTTTGGAGCAAAGGGACTTGCAAGACTGGCTTAGTTATAAGCTGCTCATGTGGAGTCCAGGCTTCCAGCACGATAAGGTTTCTCCAGTAACAACAGAGGTTGTCTTGGTGCTGGAGTCTGGGCTTGGCTAAAGCAGATCCAGCAGCTCTGAACTGCTGCATCCACAGCTTAGATAAGGGTTGGAAGAGGCGCAGTGGAAGGAGAGGAAGCGGGAGACTCACACACACTCTCTTTGTGGAGTGAAAAAGATGAGCACGAATCCTGTGGGAATGCCAAAGTGTGCAGGATGCTGCGTGTGCAGGTATTTCTGCTGGGCCAGCAGTGAGGGGCAGGGAGGACACTGAGCTTAAGAGCATCAGCATTAGAGCAGGAACAGGCAGATTGTGGCTTTGCTGAGCTAAGGGAAAATGCTTGCCCTGTGGTAGAAACTGCTGTTTATTAGAAAAATTCATAAATAAAATAATTTTATGAAGTGATTTGCATTTTGCAGATAAGAGGAGGTACAGGGGGGACCAAACAAATACTAGGAGTTGTATGTAAAAGAGGTTTAAGCCTTACCCATCGCTTTGCCACATGAGTGCAACTCAGGCTGTAGGCTTGCCCTTGTCCTTTCACTGCCCCCCAAACAACAGCCCACCCAGTGCCTAAGCACTCCAAGGATCATCTTGGAGTAAAAATTGGACTAAAAATTGGGGGGAAAAACCCCAGAGAGGAAGTTTAATGGAAGGATGCGCGCTCTCCATCACTGGTGTGGCAGAATTCCCCCCATGCAGTATCTTCTCCTGCCAGCGGTCCTGCCCTGAGCAGTGGCATCCCCCAGCATCTCTGTCCCCACCACTATCACCCTGCTGTGCTCAGCTCCCTCCTGCCTTCCCCCAGGTTGGTAAATAGCACAGGGCTGGGAGGAACAGACAGTTCCCAGTAAGTGCATTCCTAGCACCACCAATCATGGTCTGGTTCCTTAATAAAGGCTCTGATAAGGAATCTGGAATCCCTTTTAACTTCTGATCCAGGCAGAGATAAGCTGGTTTGGACATAAACAAGCGCTTCTGTCACCGGCAGCTCTCCAAATGCAGCTGCAAGACCCTGCGTTAGCCCTGAATGAGGTCCTGCTGCTGCTCCCGGGGGAGTTACTCATCCAGCTGCATCCCCATCTGGAGGGAGAGGAGGATCACTTACTCTTCCTCCCTGGTAAAGGTCTGCACAACTCCATGGGCTTTTCTGGGAGGAGGAGAGGGGGAGAGATGTAAAAATAAGGAGTGATGTCTTTGAAGTGTGACCGGGTTTTGAGGTGAAGTGAAGTCACCTTCCTGGGCTGGTTTTCTCCACGGGGCCCTCGGAGATCAGTTTTTTCACTCGATTCAGGAGAAACTAGAGCAAAACCGTGCTGAGAAAAGCATTTCAGCACTGCTTGGAGGTAAGAGGACAGCGAGGGCAGTTGGTCCATCCTATAGCCTGGCTTCCCTCCCTGCCTGACATTCCCCAGCACAGGCATGGGGGCACTGAGGCAGCAGCAGTGGGGAGCAAAGCCCAGGCTGCAACGCATGGCTGCTTAGTTGCAGGAGCAAAGATAGCCCCAATCTTAATGCCCAAAGAGATGGGACAGCAGAAACTGGCACTATTTGATTTAACCTTTCCCTGGCTTACTGCATCTTCCCTTCGAGAGACTGGCTTTTTGGGTAGAGTTCCTGGCTTCTCAGTGCTCCCAGTAGACCAGGTTGTCTCAGCCTTGAGACACCTCCCATTTGCATGGGTTTAAACGTCCCTAGTGTCATTGTCCCTTCCATTGTCCCCTACAGCTCCTCATCCGACAGGATCAGCACTCTCTTCTCGATGTTTTTGCTCTTTCTACTGCTCGGTCCATCCGCCTTGGTGGCCACGTGCCCGTTCTCTCCTGGTGCTTTGCGCTCTGCATCCTGCATTGACTGCTGGGTGTACTGCTGGTACGTGGGTGAGAAGTTGTGGATTGCATCCTGGACGATGTCCTGGGGGCTTATGGTCTCCTTCAGCCCACTGGAGATGCTCTGCATCGGAGCAAGGTTTGCTGAAAAACAGGGAGAAAGGGGAGGTGATGGGACATCAGACACTCATGAGCCCAAGTGCTCCAAGACTGGAGTGACACTTTTCCATAGTAATTCAAGATAAGGAATTCATTGTGGTCCATGTCAGCTTGCAGTGGCAAGTTCCAAGGAGAAGGAAGGCAACCCGAGCTCTGTTTCTAACAGGATGGATCCTCTCAGCAGCATGTGCTGTAATACCAAAATCCCCTAATTCTGCCCATCCACATCAAGGTCTCTCTTCCTATCCACTTACTATGGCTCATGGGTATCATGAGGGAATAAGAAGGAACTGGTGGAGCACAGGAGAAGGAAACTGCTCTTGTGGTTTTAGCATCCCATTGGTAATGCTGTAAGGGGGATCTCTTTAGTCACTGTCAAAGAAAGGAAGAAGGAAAAGTTACCTGTTGAGTTTTCTTTCTTCTCTCTGTACACCTGGCAGGTGAATGCATAGCGCAGGGCAATGGAGGCAAAGAACATCTCAATGCAGATGATGAAGTTCTGGTAGCCGGCAGCCACTGTCCCAGCTCCCACCTCCTTCCCGTCGATGATCTGAACTTCAGGGATCACCCCACATTTTTCCAGGATTGCCAGCAGCGTCCCTGCACAGGGGAAGAGGGATCAGCTCTGGAGCTGTATCTCTGGCTCAGGTGTGGTTATGGGATGAGAAGCACTGGGCATCTGTGGTGGTACCCACCTTGCCAAAAGGAGAGGAAGATGACTGCCTTGATGGTGATGAACTTGAGGACTGGCTCAAACGGGCGCAGCAGGTCCATGGTGGCAAAATAGAAGAGGAAAAGGGCGTAAAGTGCCAGGCTGACAGAGAAGTTGTAGATGATGGTGATGTAGAGGTAGCCGCTTTGGACGCTGTGGGAAGAGAGAGATGATGCTCTAGGGTGCAGGAAGCAAAGTGAACGCAACTGGAGGCAAAGAAGGATGGATGTGGAGGGGAGCACAGCCTGGGAGGGGAAGGAGAGGCCTGGGGAAAGGGGGGAGCATGGGACCACTCTCAGCTTTTCCTCTGTGGTGATGAAGCAGGGACCCCTCCTGCCCCCTTCACCCTCCCATCCCAACCCAGCATCCTCACTTGAAGTCCCCGTCGTGGTACTTCCCGAAGGCCTGCAGGATGATGGTGACGATCGCCATGAGGGGTTTCACGATGCAGAACTGCAGCGTGGCCTGCATGGGGAAAGATGCAGTGTGGCCTGGGCAGCAGGGACATCCCACTGCCCTCCCTGCAGCTCCTGTTACCCCTCCACACAACCCAACCCCTCTGCTGCCAGGACGGAAACACACAGGAGGGAGCAGTTCTCCATCACTGCAGTGATCAGTGCTGTGGGGTGAGAGATGAACCTGCATATGGGAAGAAGCAGGGCTCCCAAAAGGCAGCATAGTCGCTTTGAGATGGGAGACCAGCTGAGCTGGGGACAGAGAGCCAGGATTCAGCCTGCAGCACAGACCTATAGAGGGTTAGAGCAGCTCAGGCTAACCTGGGACTGGACAGAGATGGCAATCTCAGCTCTGCAGTGGGAGGAGACCCTGACTCAGCAGTGAGTCAGCAGCAAGGACAGAGAGCCCTGCTGCTGGCTGGCTGCCTGCCTGTGAGCAGGGTGAGCTGCCTCTCGGAGGAGAAAACCCAAACCAAGCATCTTGGGAGAGTGACAAAGCAGAGCCCTCAGCAGGGCAGTGGGGAAGGGACCCAGAGAGCCCTCATCAGAGGGGAGCAGAGCCAGTGCCCCCCAGCGGGTACCCACCTGCTTGCAGAAGCGCAGGAACCCGATGGAGTAGGACATACCCTGAAGGCAGCAGGTCCCATAAAAGCAGCTGGATCTGGAAGGAGAAGCCGAGGAGATGCTGTTGGGGCTGCTGGATGGGGATAATGGGTGCAGGGCCAAGGAGCTTGTGTGTTGCTGGGACTTACGCAATGGGCTTCCCACGGATCTCAGCCATGATGGTGCTCTCCCCTCCGAGGTACTCGAAGCACAGGCTCAGGAAGCTGTAGATCACAAAGGCTGGCAAGGGAAGGGTGGACAGGTCAGCAGGGCTGATGGAGATCCGGGAGGGGCCTGGTACATGTCACATTCCTTCCTGCTCAGGTGTTTTGTCATCCACCCCAGCACCTCCTCAGCCTTTGGCGGATGGAGCCCAGCAAGAGGAGCAAGCAGAGTCAGACACACAGCACCAGGCGCACAGGGTTTGCTGCAGATGCAGCAGCTCCTCTCTGCACACACAGTTTGTATGTGCACGGGGCAGCAGTTGTATGTCCCAGCACTGTTCATGGAGCCAGGCACCATTCACACCCAGACAAACCCAGGCAGGAGTGCAGTGGCCAGGGACCATCTGCATGGAAAGAGCTCAGAATTGCCAAGGGACAGCACAAGTGGCCAGCAACGAGCAGGTCCTGAACAGCTTCATTGGACATCCCCATTGCTTATTCTTCATATACTCCAAACCTGAAGTAATGCACATGCCCACACTCTCCACTCCTCAGAGGGTGACCAACAAGGTGGAAGTGCAACCTCAACCCTGACAAGCTTCCCATGCACCTCAGATCACCCCAACTCCCCAGTTTCTTAGGTATGTCAACCTCCTGCTTTAGAGGACCTGCACTTTACCCCAAAGGCAGCCAGAAAACCTTTCCCCAGGTACATGATGCTGGGGTCCTTCTGAGGCTGTTGGAAAGGCTCATGTCTGCCTATGGGGCATCTGCTTCCTGCTGCTGATGGAGAAGGAAGGGGAAAGCCTCTGCTTGGAGGAAGGGAAGTGAAAGAGGTGGAGATTTGCCTCCTTATGCGATCCAGAGACAGGTCAGTGGGATGAGAGCCCTGCTTTGCCATCAGCATCCCTGCCAAGGAGAGGCTGCACTCACCTTCATAGCAGTCGCGCACTGAGTCAAAGTAGACATAGTACTGGTGGCTGCCGAGGAGGAGGAGGCTGAGCCAGGAGTCGAAGGCATAGATGGGCACGATGAAGAGGATGCGGATGATGTAGCGCTGCTCCTTGGGCATGGTGTAATTCCTCAGGTGTGTGTAGATCTGCAAAGGGCCCAGTGTGTGGAGCTGTGGCTACCCCTGGTCAGGAGGGGAGCCAGAGGTACCCCCCAGCCCACAGGGCTGCAGGATGCTCATCCCACGTCAGCCCTCCATTGTGGTGAATAGACACAAGAGACAGGCTCCATCCCAGACCCTGGGGCACTCCCTTCCATGCAAACACATGGAAATCAGGTCCCTTCCCTGGCTCTATTCAAGGAGCATGCCTTCATCTGTGCCAGCCCCATCCCAGTGCTCAGAGGCACCAGCTTGCCTTCAGTAGCACCCGAACCCATGCCCATGGGCAGTTGGTGGTGTGCATCCCAAAGGCACAGACCCTAAGGTACCAGATGAGGAACCCCATTGGGTGTTGCCTCCAGGCAGTGCCAATGCCAATTCTCTGGCAGCCGTCAGGGAGCAATGGGCAAAGTCCACTGTGCCAGGCTGCCAGCACCACTCTCCCTCTGCACAACAGAGATATCCCCTCCAGGCAGCAACAGCAGGAGATATTTATCCAGAGCTGAGTGATTTGCAATTAACTTGGGGGCAATCAACAGTCTGGCCCCAAGTGCTGAGCCCTGTCTCTGCCCCAGCCTGTACCTGGTGGAAGGTGATGACGAGAGCCGACCACACGAAGATGCCGGAGATGGCCTGTGCTGCTGTAGTGGTCAGGAAAAGCTGCTGGCTGTCCTGGGAGTCGTTGTGGGCAACCATGAGCAGGGCAAGGGCTGGCGATGAGGAGGGTGAAGCCAGCCTGGGTGCTGTGCTGGGCCCCAGGGTGCTGGGCTCCATGGAAGAGGGCAAGGCACGTGTGGCATTACTCATCTGCAGGGAGGGAGAGGCAAAGGGAGAGGCAGGACTGAGGTGAGCTGGTGAGGGGGAAGGTCCTAGCACATTTCCCAGCCCACACAATGTGGGCAAACCTCCCGTGAGGTTTATCTTCTCCATAGGTTTTTTCCAGCGTGTCCCTCATCCAAACCAGCCTATTTATGATAGTTGGAAATGCAAACATCCTTCAAGAGCAGGAGGTGTATGCAAACATGCCCCCAGAACACATGCTTCTCCTTCCCAGCCTTGCTTCTTGCTTCCTCAGGGGTCTTTATCCCACTTGTAATGGAAAACCTGCCTACGTTTGTGTCACTGTGAGTTCACTCACGTTGCTCAGGACCCTTTTCCATCATGAATCAGATATTTAAGGGTTAAACTCATCCCTCACCCATGATAATAACAAGTCCCTTATTTACTCACCATCTGGACACTTATGTCCTCCTCCTTGGGAGCCCAGAAAATACAAGAATACCTGTGATCCCCTCCAAAATTTAGCTCTTCTCATCATGCATCGCCTGATGGAGGCAAAGTCCAAGGCTGCCCAAGAACATTTGACATCACCCAGGTTGTTTGGCCAAAAGAGGCTTGGCCATTTTGGGATCATGGGAGTCTTGGTGTGCCATCAATGCCGACTTGAAGGGCAGCCAGTGGCCCCTCCTGCACCAAACTGAGCACCAGAGAGCAAGCCTGCCATGCTGCAGCAGAGCTGCTGCCCTTTGGGGATGCTGCAGTGCTCCGGCATCTCCCCAGCACGTCTGTCCTCCTCGAAGCATTGCCCCAAGGCACGGAGCATTCCCAGCACAAAGAGCGGCTGGGGCATAAGGGCACTGTGTACCCTGCGGCTCCAGACAGCAAGGACCAGCCTAATAATACACTCTTATTTATAGGGCAGCTTCATATCTCAAGGCCAACAGATGCGCAAACTGCCACGTTTGGCCTCTGCAAATCTACAGAAAGCTGCTTCTTCCCAAGTACCACAACAGTGGTTTATAAAACCCCCCACCAAAACCAATAACCTGTGAGCAGAGCTCTAACTATAGAGACGCTTCTCGGTGCATTCATAAACAAAGGTTTTAGCTGCTGGGTAACAACTGCCTGCAGATAAAACCATAAGCATGAACTGGTGAGAAGCAAGGAAGTATCTGCCGCAGATCAGAGTGGTAGGGACTGGCCTTGGTCCATTTAAACACAGCAAACAAACCAAAGCGAGAGCTCGCCCTGTGGCTGCCTCTGCTGCCCTCTGCCCGAACCCCAGCCTCACAGGAGAGGAAACTCGGCTGGTGTCAGATCAACAGCCCTAAAAATACCTTCCCCCCCCCCCCTCCCTCCGCCTGGCAGAGGCTGCCTGTAAGCGGAGATGCCCGGGGCAGCAGCGAGCTGGCGAGGAACCAGGAGCTCACCCGCAGTACCTGCGAGCGGGGAAGCACAGCCGGAGGTGGATGTGTGGATGGATGGAAGCAGAGCGGATGGAGGAGGCAGCGGGATTCGGGTCTTTTCCTCCCTGTACCTGTCCCGCTGCCCTGCTCCTGCCAGCAGGAAGAAGGGAGAGCCGGGCAGGGACCTGGTCTTTGCTCAGACCATGACGCTGCCAGACCTGCCTTGTAAACATTAACAGGAGGAGGGAGGTGAGAGCTCAGCTGTGCCCTGCTCCCCAACAGTCCTCACTCTTCCTGAGGGCTGCCCTGCTGCTAGCTGGGGCCACAGGCTGGGTTTGGGCATGGACCTCATAGAGTCATAGAATCACAGACTGGTTAGGGTTGGAAATGACCTTAAGATCATGCAGTTCCAGCCCCCTGCCATGGGCAGGGGCACCTCACGCTAAACCATGGCACCCAAGGCTCTGTCCAGCCTGGCCTTGAACACTGCCAGGGATGGAGCATTTAAGCATTTAGCACTTCTGTGTGCAATCTGTTCCAGTGCCTCACCACCCTCACAGTAAAGAACTTCTTCCTTATATCCAGCCTGAACTTCCCCTGTTTAAACCTGAACCCTCTGCCCAAACATCACGATAGGGAAGGATCCAGTTCACTTCCCAGAACACAGTGGAGAGCCATGCTTATTGCTAGACCCATTTACCTTGTTTTTAACCCATCACTGTGCCACAGGTGCCCGGCCCAAGACATCCCAACCCCTATTAGCTTTCCCAGGCATGGCGGTAGGAGCACAGTGGCTCCAGCAGCCGGTCCCTGGCAGGCTCCCCGACATTGTCACACTCTGAACGTGGCGGAGCAAGTCATTAAACACAAAAGCCTCGGTGCCGCTTGGAGACGGGGCTCCCAGCTCCGCAGGTAATTAGATCCCGGCCATGCAAGGTAGCTGGGCAATTCAATGCAGTTAGAGGGACATTTGCTTCCAAAACAAAGGCGGCAAGGAGACAGAGAACAATATTAGCAGCAAAACTCAGCTTCTCAGCGCCAGTGCCACATCCAGTCTGGGTGTTTTCGGCCACTTTGCAGGTACCTGCCATGTCTACCTGTTACTCCATCATGGAGTATTTGAGCTGCTGAGCACGGAGCAGAAGATAAACTGAGCAGTGAAACCTGCTTTGGGGGCTTTTTCTTTGCCCCATCTACAGGCTGCCAGAGCATCACATCCCTCCCATTTCCCGAAGCACACAGGACAAATCCCACCTTGTCCCCGTGAGGCTGGGGCAGTCAGAAAGGAAAGGCAAACCCCTAGTCGCCCCCCCACAGTGCCTGTGCACTGTTGGCTGTGTGCCACAGTAAGGGGGGAGAGATCCCTAAACCCCATCCTGGGGGTGGGATCACCCACATCCAGGCTCAGCCCCACCACAGGAGACATGCCCTTCCTCCTGATTGCGTTCAGAAAGCACCAGGGCATGGGGGTTATCTCTCTGCCCAGCCTTTCCATAGCACCCTCAAGGCCACCCAGGAGGAAGGACCTATAGCACATAGCTATAAATTGAGCCAGGGAAGCATCAATCTCTCCTCAAGGCGATCCCAAAGGAGTGGGTGCCCCCCACACACAGGGCTTTTGCCATGCTGGTCCCATGGATGGCTGGGGCACTCTCTGCTCTGTGCCAGGTTGCCCCCCGCTGCTGCTCAGCCCTCCCAGGACCCCACTCACCCTGAGGGGCTGCTCCAGGAGCTGGCCTGGCTGCCGGGCACCTGCACCCGCATCCCCTGCTCCCTCCTCCAGCGGCTCGGTGGAGACTCCTCCTCCGGGCACCTTCCCAGCCCTGCCCGCTGTCAGCTCACCCTGCCTGCACCCCGGAGCAGGAGCGGCAGGTCGGAAAAGCCACCCAACTTACCTTTCCAGTCTGCCACGCTCGGCACCCAACCCGGAAAGCAAACACGGACGTAAAGCCATGGCGCAGCCTGACACCCGCACACGTCCTGCGGGGCGAAGGCAGGTTCTATTGCAGTTGGGAGTTAATCCTCACCTAGAGGAAAGCGATGGCAGTGACAGACCGGTGCTTGCTTTTTGAGGCAGGCCTTCCCTTTGGTTTACTGCAGAGTAGAGAGGAGCAAAGTTAAGGACCTGTTGCCCATGGTCTAATTTATCAGCCCTGGAAAGGCAGCAAGATCTGTGTGTCCTGTTTCCAACACCAAATCGGTGCTTTCAGGTAAAGCACCCATAGGACCAGCACAGCAAGAGCCCTGCGTGTGCATCACCCACTCCTCCGGACAGGCTTTAAGGAGAGATGGATGCTGTCCTGCCTCAATTTATAGCTATGTGCTGTAGGTCCTTCCTCCTTGGTGGTTTTGAGGGTGGTATGGAGAGGGTGGGCAGGGAAATAACCCCCATGCCCTGGCATTATCTGAAAGCCAGTTTTTAGCTGAAAAGGTCCTTTCTTGCCACCCTGTGCAGACCTGGTAGCACACAGAGACAGGAAACAAAGGTGGTTAACTCGTGGCTGGCTTTTAGGTAGCAGCACTCAGGTTTTCAGGGCACAGCAGCGGTTTGCCACCCTATCACCACGGTGGAAGATGCAATTTACATTCAATTTGCTAATAAATGTCTGGTTTGCACACATTGCTGGAGCTGTGGGCACCGTAAGAGGACCAGGATTTGGGCAATACATTGAATTTAATGTCGGGAAAGAACCTCTACTAACAAACCAGCATCGTCATTAACAAATTCCACATGCCTCTCTCAGCCTTCCTAGACCAATAAAAAAGCATAAATGAGGGAAAATGTGGAGCTCTGACAGATGCAAATTTTTGATTCTTGGAAGCACAGTTTGGAGAATTATTTTTAGATGAAATTTCTTGTCAGGGGCAGCTGCAAGCCTGCAGTGCCTGAATGTACTTTTAAAGTTTCATTTCTCATAATCCCTTCACTGCTGCAAATGACTTCAGAGAAAAGAGTCCTTTCAAAAGCCACTTTCTGCTTTTCTACTTGTAGGGGATTTTTTTAGCAACAGAAATATCCCAGCAGCTGGATCTGCATGGGGCAGGCAGAGGCTCTGGGCTGGTTCTGCCCAACCAACAGGTCCTAATGCAGCACAGGCTTTGCCTGCTCAGAATCCAAGCCCTGGCCTCTATTCTGCTCTGCCAATAACTGACAGAAGGGTGTAACAGCTCACTTAACAATTTACTACTTGGTGTTGTTACAAGAAGAGGTAAAAACAAATGTGTTTTCAAGCAAAGCCTGGCTATTAAGCATTGCATCAACTCATATGACTTCATTGAACGCTTTTATTTCAACAGACTTGGGAGAAGCACCCATGTGTAACCCCCCAAAACACTTTTGTCCCCATGTCTCCTATGACAGATGCTTCAGGAGAGGGACAGCTCATTGCAAGTGGACCCACTGAGGTATGTGCTGCCTCTTTGATGTGCTGGTACCACGTAATGCATAAGCAGCTCTTATTTGTCTCCTTCTCACCACTAAATTGGGCTCCTGTCTTCCACCCTGATGTCAGCTTTCATGAAATTTGCAGAGCATAATTATCTGCCTCTCTTTAAAACCAGAGCGAAAGTGGAAAATGGATTCCGACTGCATCAGGAAAGGGACTGACACGAGGACAAAAGCAGTCGTACAGGACTCATTTCCTTAAAAACAAGCAAGAAAACCTTTCCTATTATGCAACTGCTGTTGATTTGTTACAGGCTTGTATTTCAACTGAAGCAATTTTCACAGAGCAAAAAAGAAAACAGGTAAAATTAGATTTGTCAATGTTTCTTTTTATTCACCCTGCACTGGGTGTTCCCCCTCTGCGGTGCAGCGTAGCTCCAGAGCTTGGCATCCATCGCTCCTCAGGATACAAACGCAAGAGCCACGCCACTTCCCAAATATACAGCCCACCCAGTGTGATTAAAATAACACTTCTCTTGCATGTTGAGACAATTGCCGTCGTCTCATCACTGACTGTATGGACTGCAAACCTGTCACAGTAACAAAACCCACAAATGTTCTACACAGTAGAGAAAAATTCATGAAATTCCTCAGTTCGTCCAAAACCAGCACAAAGACATTCCATCATTTTCATTTCTTGTCCTTTTAAATAGGTGGTGATGAGTCACAGACTCAAGATCATTTCCTTGAATCCAGATGGCACAACTTCACCACACTTGGCAACTTCGGATCACTTCCCGTAGAGCTTGTATTCCTTCCATGGTCTTGTCCTTTAAAGCCATGGCGAGAAGAACGGGTTTGTTCCCAGCTTCCTGAGACACAAATGCCACCAGGTTTTTGGCACAAACATGAACGAGGGGCTGAAAAGCAAAGGCAGACAGATGTACACTATCACAGCTGGGAGAACTCTCCTGCATGAGCTGGGAGAGTCCTGCAATGACATGGAACGTGTTGAGAACCTGTTGATACATCCCTGGCAGTGTTCAAGGCCAGGCTGAACGGCGCCTGGAGCAAACTAACCTAGTGGAAGGTGTCACTGTCCGTGGCAGAGGGGTGGAACTGGATGAGCTTTAAGGTCCCTTCCAGCCCAAACCAGTTTGGGATTCTACACTTCTATGATGCTGGACCCAGACTGAGTGTGCAGTTTGTTGAGAGATTCCAACATGACTGGGAACAGACACGCAGTCTGGCTGGTCAGCACAGCCAAAGCATGCACCCAGCTGGCTTAAAAGGGAAGAGTTTGGACACAGGAGTGACATCCAACCAAACCACCCTGAAACAACTGAGCTGGAGCTGCACTTTAATCGAGTTCTGCACCAGTCTGGATATCTTCAGAAGCTGGTATAGAGAAGCTTTCCTGTCACTAATCCTCCCACCCTAACCATCAATTTCCTTCCACTAATCCTCCCACCTACCAAATATCAAATTATATGAAATGCCATGGATCAAAATGCCTCTGCTTCCACCATAACCAGAGTTCTGAAGAAGTCTCCAAGTGCAGATTTTGTTTAAAACCTTGTTGCTGATGAAGGTATGTTAATATACAAGCTCGGGAAAAAAACTTACTTTTGCAGCTCCTAAAGACCCCAAAATAGTGGTTTTTTTAGTCTTTTACAGCATGTCTAAAAGACGTGTTGGTTTTGATTTTAATAGAATAATAAAAACCAGAACTAAGTAGTGATGCTGAAGGAGGGAAGAAGAGGCGTATTATCTTCTCAATGAGGTTTCTTTAACAAGAAAAAACCAGGAACAGAATAGCACAGACTATTTCAGTTGGAAGGGACCTACAACAATCATCTACTACAAACCCAGAGCCAATTCAGGGCTGACCAAAAGTTACAGGATGTTGTTAAGGGCACTGTCCAAATGCCTCCTAAACACTGACAGTCTTAGGGCATCGACCACCTCTCCAGGAAGCCTGTTGCACTCTTTGACCATCCTCTTGGTAAAGAAGTGCTTCCTAATGTCCAGTCTGAACCTTCACTGCTGCGGCTTTGACCCATTCAGCTTGTCTAGGTTTTATTTACACCCACAGTCATGTATTTTATCAGAAGGATGAGCTTGGTTTCAGCTACCAGTGTGGTATGGAAGTGTGCACCATCCCAAGTGAGGTTGTTAATGGGGACAAGCAGGAAGACAGCAAACCAGTGAAAGCCTTTCCTTAAAGTCTGATCAATAAAGTTGGCAAAATGATTTAGAAATATGATGTTACAAAGAGAACAAAGGCACTTCCCATCTACAATAAAACACAAAACCAGCTTGGGGATGGAGGGGGTCAGAATTTGCAGACATCATACCAGGGAAAGAAAAGCACCTCCCAAACAGAGAAGGGAGTCTATCACTGAAGAACAAGAACTCTGTAAGGGGAAGCTACAGGTAGAATCAAGAACTTGTGTTGCTAGAGATTTTCCAGTTAAGGTGAGAAAGTAATATTTGATAGCTCCAACTCTGATGGAAAGCCTCATATTGTAGCGCTGTAACTTTGTGCTTTAATGGCCGACTAGCTGACGCTTTGTGAAATACATTTTCTTCTGCGCTCTCTCCAGCTTTGTGAAAGGGTCGATAAAAACTCATTTTGTTGAAGCAAAACAAATTAAACTTTCTCAAGGGAAGGCGCTGGCAGGCACAGCTGGGAGAGTGCAACTAAAGTCCATGATGTGGCTGGCACAGATTGGGGGGGGGGGGGGGGGGGGGGGCAAAAAAAGAAGGAAAACAACCTCACTGGGAACGGAAACCCAAAAAAGGTTATCAAAGGGTGCATGTTTGATCTTGTAACCCTTAGATCAATAGGAGCTTTATCAAACCTGCCATAAACACAGCAAAGCAACCCTTGGAGAGGAAACAACAGCTCCCCAAACCACTCCGTTCAACTTCTGTTATGTCAAGGCGCAGAGGAGCACCACATGCTTCTGATGAACCCCTCGGAAGAGACTCTTCAGTTCAAACACCAGTGAACTGCTGTGATCCACCAACTTGCACAGCCCCACTTACGACATTCCCCCCTTCTTATCCCTGCCGCCTGCGTATCCGCTCTCACCTCGTCCTTGCCCAGCAGCACCTTTGTGGTGAGCGAGGGCCTGCCCACGTTGTCACCCACTGTGTTGGGGTCCACATAGACGATTGTGCCCATCTTGCCGTACTGCGTGACTACCACGAGGACGGAGTTGGAGAACGCCGTGCACACCACCTCTGTCGGCACCCCGCGTACCACCTCCTCTCGCTGCTTGGACATCACGATGGGATTCGCTGCCATGGCTGATGAAAAAGAACAAAGCAGCAACGGTAATAATAAAACAACATTAAAAACACGGGCTATAAAAAGCCTGAATCCTTCATTTGAAATACCCAGTGTTAACAGAGCACAAAAGCATCTGGAGGGGTGTGTTGGTGCAGGCACAGCGATCAGCACCCCACACCCCTGATGGGGATGGGAAATCTAACTGCCCCGCCGCAGCCGTCCGCACAACGAGCTCATCATGCTTTAACAGCAGCCGCACCTATGGAGCCATGCCCTCCCTTCCCTCGCAGCCTCCCAGCCGCTGGCACCGAAGGGGCGACCCCCGAGCCCCGCTTTCCACCCCTGCGCCCCGCAGGCCGCGGCGCTTCCCCCTCCCGCCGGGCCGAGCCGAGCCGAGCCGAGCCTGCCGGGAGGCCTCTGCCGCCCCTACCCGCACCGGGCCCCGCCGTGCCGCCGCTCTCCGCCCAGGCCCGCCCCGCCGCGGCGGAAGCGGCGCCTTTCCCCTCCCTCCGCCGGCCGGCGGCGCGGGGCGATGGCGGAAGGTGATGGCGATGGCGGCGGTGCGGGACGGCCGCTGCTCTTCCCTCCCCTCAGCGCCGCGCCGCCATTACCCGCCGCCATTACCCCCCCCTTCTTCTCAGGAACGTCGCCCCGGGGCTGAGCCCCTTCCGCCGGCCTCATTCCGATGCCGTTTTCCCGTTTTTCACCCCCGTTTTCTCCGCTCCCACCCACCGGGTGTTGTTCAGCTCCCCCCCGCCCCCGAGCGTGCGTTCCCATCAAACTAAGGGTGGTCTGGGACCTTGGGAGCAGCCGCGTCCTCATCCCTGTCCTCCCCTTGTCACAGCTGGTGAGATAAGAGGCACGTTTGGCACCAAACCACTTCACACATGGTCCAGCTGCTTCTTGAGCGACATGTGGGGCTTGAGGGCACGATGGCAGCTGCCCCGTGGGGCTGTGATGGGAGATGAGGACCTCCGTGTGAAGAGCGCAAACCTAGATGCTCATGTCCCATGAGCAGTACGTATAAACATCTCTTTCTGTTGATTGCATACAGGTAATGCAATCCTGTTTGAAATACTCATGAATAGTAACTCTGAGCAGTGTTTTATACAAAGCTCTTTCTCAGAGGTTTGCAGCCTTCCAAACTAACAACTGCTGGCTCTAAAACAGGCTCCAGTCCTTACTTTCTGTGTGTTATCCCTCCCTACCGTCATTCCCACCCCGCACAAACTATCCCTGCTGTGGCTGCAGCAATAGACCTGACTTGTGAATTGTTCAGGTAACGTCTCTTAGGGATTTAATGAATCTTCGTTTGTTTTGCATTAAAAGTTGTAACAAAACTTGGCTACGGGGAGAGGATGTAAACTTTGTGCTGAGAATCCCTTAAGGCACCGTTAGAGAGCAGCAGAGGTCCATGGAAAGGCTTTTAATGCACCAGGTTATACTTGTGGTTAACCCAGAGCCTCGATGCCTCTTCGGCGCTCCTTGCAATCTGGTAAATAGTCTGTTTTCCAGAGCTGCGAGGAAACAACATTCCTCTTCCTTGCTTGCCACAGTCACTCGAGGCTTTGCCTGTTCCATGGAGATAATGGCAGCTCTTGCCAGCAAAGCCTCCTGACTCATAAAGAAGTTTATTCCTGCTCTGCTTTCTCCAGAGAATAGTTTTACTCCAGGGAACACAAAGGACCAGATTCTTCCTGCCATCCTTGCCAGACTCCTGTCTTATTTTTACACAATAAAGAGAGTCCGCTCTAGTTCAGATTTACATGGAAACACTGCACTTTGCTGGTTTGGATTGGTTTGGGACAAAAGAGTTGTCTGCAACAGTTTCAACCGTTTGGCTACCTCATTTTGGCATGGAGCTGAGATGGGACATTGCAAACTCGAGAAGCAGGTGGCAGGAGGTGACGGGGCACTGAGTCTTCATCAATGAAAGAAATACATTAAAAAAGAAATGAAAGAATGGAGGAGAAGGCTCTGTGTGACCGAGGCAGGGGATGGAGCTTTGGGAATACACACCATGGCAGATCATGGGACCTTTCCTGAGGGGTCCCTGTCTGGCTGCCACCTGCTTCCCAGCGTTTTCTGGCTTAGAAGAAAGTGTATCTGTGCTTACACTTCCATTATCTATAGCAGTTTTCCTCCAAAGATCTCTAATCACATTGCAAGCATTACTGCAAACTCTCTTTAGACATAACAGTATTAATATACTGCATTTTATGATCTGATGGAAATAAACAATCGGGACAGGCAGCAGTTCAGAGTCATCCAGTCCTTGGCTGGAGATTCTGCAGGATTTCAGGATGCTTTTTTTGCTGCCGAAGACACATAAGTCATGCGTGTCTCTCTCTCAGTTACCAGAGAAAATCAATGACTCTGCAGCCCCATACTTTGATAACAAAACCTACCCATAGTATTGCAGCCTTATACCTTTATTATTATTCATTTGAGCGGTTTCTTACCACTCTTTAAACTGCTTAAGCGCCTCTGTGTGTGTAGACTGGAAGGAGGCTGCTTTTTATCATAAACTTTGCATTTTTTTTCCAAGCTGGTTTTATAAGAGCAAACGTGTAAGATCCACAGAGCATCCGAAATGTTTCCCACTTCCTTTGAAAACTAGACACACAGTGTTTGAGGACATCCATTAATAATCCTTGCTCTTGGGAGCACCTAGCTATCAAAGTGCCGGGTTGGTTTATTAGTTTACAGGTTATTACTTCTCTAGTTTAGATTTCTCTCTTGTATCTTTTATGATGCAGAATATAGACTGTGAGCTGGAACCTCAGGTGCAGCTGTGCTCAGGGCTGCGCAGCCAAGGAGGCAGGAAAGGAATTAGTTTGCTCCCTGATGCAGGAGCTGCTTGGGAATTATTCTGACCCTTGTTATAAATTGGGTACGTGCAGCAGAGCAGCTTTAAGTGCATGCTTTTGGCCAGCCAATATCAGGGATGCTCCTCTCCCTCTTATTGCTGTTACTGCAAGGTCAGGGGGATGTGGGTGGTGTGGGGTTGTGTGTGTACTCTCTCCATGGGGTCGTGTCAAAGGAGTAGGAGGGATGGGAGAAATCCACCTCCTGGTGCTTTGAAGCAGTTTCCACTGCATTTAAATAGAGCCTGGCAGAAGCAGAGTTCAGAAAATGCTGCTGAATTGAGGCCCTTGCAGAAGGGGTAGAGGAGCACATCTGGGGCTGTTCTCAAAGACTAGCTTTAACCCCAGAAGTCCCTGGCTGACTCTCTCTGCAGTTAGTGGAGAGAGGCTTTGTCACTGCTTGGTGCAAAGTGGAAGCACAGCTTTGAACCTGGCTATCCGCAGTCAGGAGTTAAACCTGCTGTGGCTCAAGCTGGCTGTTTTATCTCCTGGTTTCTAGATTTCAGGCTGATGTAGGTGTGGGCCTGCCAGACATCACCAAAGAGAGACAGACAGACAGACAGAAATGGGGCATCAGGTTTGCAGGGAAGCCTGAGGTTAAGATTTGAGCAGCTGAGGAGTTTGATGTGTTCAGGGTTAGGTGATAGCTGAACAGCATTCGCAGAGTTAAAGCTCTCAGGCTGTAATTCCATGTGATCATACCTTGAAGGAATATGAGGGCATTCTGGCTCTTCTGTACTTTGGTCGCTTTTCTGTGCTCCCTAAGAGAACAACTAGCATCATTTCTTATTCTGAGAGACATGTCTAAGAGGTTTGCTTTGTTCTTAAGTTGTCCATACGGCTCTTATTGTATGGGCCATCTCTTACTTCATTTGTTCCATGAATAAGAGGAAGGCTAAACAGATCAATTAGGCATTGCAGAACCACTCTAAGCTATTTAACTGTTGATTAAACACTTCCCCCCCCACCCCCAAGAGTAGAATTCAGCTGGAAAAAAGAGTCTTTTAAGAAAAGATAATGCTCAGAAACCACATTATTCCCTTTCTGTGCGAGCTGCGTATGTGAAATAGATGGATGTCTGCATGCTGGGGACTATCAGGTCATGCTGTTTTCTTCTTTCAGGTCATGCTTGTTTTCTTGCGTTTGCAACTTAGTAAGGAACCATCATTCTTTGTGTAAACAGGAGCTGCCCACATATGAGCACTAGCATGTTTTTTTTCTGTGAAAGGGTAGGATTTAAACCGTGGCAGTAAGCCAGCGTGCTCCGGCTGGGCTTGGAAGCATCTAGGTAGCAATTTGACTGGAGCCCTTTGGAAGTTACTGTTTTTTTAAGTCAGATTTAGCAACGTATAAATAGAGGAGTACTCCAGGAGCACTTGTAGGACTTTGTTATGCTGTGTCATTTGTGTTTTCTGAGCTGCTGGGCAGGCTGAAGAAGGAGGACTCCAGATCCATGGGGCTGGGATGAGAAAGGAGCTCCCTTGGCGCTGGCAGAGTTTTACAAGGGGGCTACTGTTGAGGTTGCAGAGCCTGACAAAAGTCAGATAAGTCACATCTACAGAAGAAAGTTGCTGAAAACAGTTTCTTGGGTTCCTGGTCTCACAGAGCAGTAGTTTTCATATATTCAGTACTTTTAAAACCATCAGATCTTACATTTCTTTGCAAAAGATACCCAGGAATTATTTCAGCAACCACTGAAATGAAAATGACACTCTTGAAATATGTGGAATTTATCTCCAGAGCAGCTTCAGACTACCTAAGAGAGCTGAAAGAGCTCCAGGTACCTGAAAGAGTCTGGATTACATCATGCAGTCAAGCTGGTGCTGCCTGATAATAACTTTTATCCCCAATATTTATAATGAAATATCAGATGTCTGTACTGGACACTGTAGGCAGGGTATATGGAGCAGGCAGAGTCATTATGAAGCCAGGTTGACTTTAAGTACTGTTTACATAATTTTCACTTGTCAAATAACATCCCTACATAGATCTTGGCTATGACAGCGCCTGTGGATGGTATCATCCATCAACAGATCCACCCTGTAAACAGCAGAAGCTTTGCATTACTGCAATGGCTGAAGAAATTATCTCCATGGATCAGTAAAGACAGCAGTAATTGCCATAAAGCTCACTGTAGTTTATGCAAGAGTTTTTCAGTTGCTTGTGGTGGACTGTCAGATGAAAGACACCATGCAAATGGAGTGGATTGTAAAAGTAATTGTGGCATAGCTCGTAAGTACAAAACTTGTACCACTCTGTTCCTAAGAAGTGTGACAGCACAGAAAATAACGACGTAGCTCTTGCAAGAGTATTAGTATGATACTAATAGTTTAGTCAGTTGTATAAATCACTTAATTGCAACAGCAAATTAAATAGCGTTATTGTCTAGAATCCACCCAGAGTTAAAATAATATATCTTGATGAGACAAATGCCTTGTGCTCTGCCAGTAATAAATTAGCTCCTCTTTCAAGTGAGAAAACAATTAAAAACTTGGTTGAAAAGGGCATATTTTCTCCGTGGCCATTGATCCCTGAAACGCTGGAAATTAAAAGTGTTTCTAATCGTTGTTCATTGTTACACAGTTGAAAGAGGAAAAATCCATTGTCTCATGTTCAAGACAGTTATGAAATTGCATATTGGGAATAGTTGAAAATGTAAGAGGCATCTAACCGAATGGTTTCAACTTTGACAATGTATCATCATTTGCAGTTTATAATGCTGCCGTTAAGTTTGGGAGATATCAGTCAGTGCAG